CAGGACCTCGGTTTTACGTCTCATCTGAAGGACGGCGCCTGTTTACAGTCTAGTGTCCCCGTCACTATACTGGGGCATCAGGACCCACACAGACCGCAGGGTGAGCGCCCCCTGCTGGCCCCACTAACACCACTTCTCAGTCTCTCCCGGGCGGCGCTGGAGCAACAGCTGTGAAGCTCGGGGACCCTCAATCAACCAAACTCCCCTGTGGCCTGGAAGTCCAGGGACGGTTTCGCGGAGCCTGGGACCGATTGAGGGGGGGTCGTCGGTGTGTCTCGGCGGGGCGCAGAGGTCGGCCCGCGGCAGGTCTGCTGAAGGTGTTACCCCCCCCTCCCCCCAGGTTCGCCGTGGCCCGATGCCGTCTTCTCCGTCGCCGGTCGCGGGAGCCCGGCTGCGCGACAGACCCTCCTCCTCTTCCTCTTCGTCGAGCACGCTGACCCCTTCCAGTCCGAGCTGGGCGACTTCGTGGGTGAGTGACCGGGCCGCTGGCCGGGGTTCGCTGCGGAGCTCCTTTCGAGTAGAGCTAAACGGTCGCCTGTTATATCGGCGTCCAAGATCAGGTTTCGCAGCGTAAATCAACATTTGTCTCCCTCACGAATCCAGGGAGGTTTGTAGCCGTTAATCCAGTACGCCCACATCTGAACTTAGACGAACACAGCCTCTCGGGGGCAGGCTTGAATCCCATCTTCATCCTCTTCCCTCGCCCTGACCGGTCAGAGCAGGACCAGCTTCTCGGTCCCACCCCAAACGTCAAGTCCTCGGGTGGAGGCGGTCCTGATGAGAGAGTGGGCCGGGATTCTTGCTGCAGATATTTCACCGCATTGTGAACTGCGCGCCCTGTCCTGCCACCCCAGCCTGTGGGCGTGACGGAGGACGCAGTGCTTTACAGCAGGTCGCTTTAATAAAGGACGATAAGTCACACACGTCTCGCCCGTTCTCTCTCTCCCCCCCACCCCACCCCCCTTGCCCAGCCTCTGCGGAGACGGTGCAGCAGAATTTGGACCCTCTCCTCCGGTACAACGAGGAGGCAGTGATGTCGGCCATCCACCTCCTGCTGGACTCTGCCCTGCAGGATTGGCTCAAGGCACAGAAGGCAGGTGCCATGTCCACTGCACGCTGGTAGGGCCTCGCACGTCCACAGGAAGAGGAACGGGCTGAACACCTCCCTTCCTTTACACAAAGGGAGGTGGGAGGGTGACACCAGCCGCCCAGCCACGCTGTCGAATCCGATGGGGTTTCGGTGTCAAACAGAACACCCTGCTCATTTGCAGTGTCTCAACTCTGCAGATTGAAATGGTTCCCTAGATTAAACTCTGTCGACTGAAGGAATTGACGTAGTCAGTTTAAAACAAACCAAAACACAACTTGTTTTTCGGGTGCAGTTTTTCCAGACGGTTCCTCTTTAGTCATCGCATGTCTGTCACAGTCTCAGGCTCCATTTTTTAAGGGAGAAGAAATGCATTGAATAACATGTAAACGTAATCTCAGGTCTCTGCAGAATCACTGCAGGTGCTGCGTTCCAGAATTCAGGTGCTTTGTAGTAAATGGTGTTTTGGTAAATTGGGGGCCTAGCTAGTGATTTATATTGATTATATCTTTAGCTATGTGTAAGTGGCCTGGTGGCAATAGTGGTTAGAATTGGTGCCTCGAAGGTTCAGTACCGGGCCTGGGGTGCTGTCTGCGTGGAGTTTGCATGTTCTCCCAGGGTTTGTGTGGGTTTCCTCCCCCGGGCCAAAGACAGGCTGCTGGGTTAACTGACTTCTGGGAAAACTGGCCCTGGTGCGTGTGTCCCGTGTGTGTCCCGTGTGTGTCCCGTGTGTGTCCTGTGTGTGTCCTGCCTTGTGCCCGTTGCTTGCTGGGATAGACTCTGAATTGGATAAAGCTACTGGAATACAGATGGACAGATGGGTAAGCCATAAGTGCACTCATTACACCCGTTGTAATAAAGCTCAGTTTCAGAGCTGTCGAACCCCAGACACACACCCCCCCCCCCAGGCCTCGTCGTGCAGGGTGAAGGGGTGCGAACGGGGGTCGATGTGGTCTCTCACTCTCCTCCTCCAGGCCCAGGCGAGGCTGCGCTCGGCCCTGCCGGTCATCCTGAGCTCGGTCGCCAGCGTGGTGTCCAGCAGCGCCTGCCTGGACTTCAGGACGTCCTGCTTCCGCAGCATGAAGGTAGCCAGGGTGTCCAGGGGGACCTGCGGTCTTCTCCAGAGCGAACGGCCGCGGCTGTCAGTAAGGCCCTGAATAGCAGTTCACTCCGACCCTCACGCAAGACGTGAAATGCGCACCACCCAGAGATCTACAGGGTCACCTAAAGAGACTCCCCGATTCTGCTCTGTGGGCGGCCACAGACGGGGTGCAGCCATGCCCCCGAGGTTGGAATCGAACCCGTACCCCCTCCCCGCGTGGCTGCTCGAGTCCTGTTCATGCCCTCCATCCCACAATTCATCACGGATAACGGAAGCGGTCTCGCTGGGACGGTCCCCGGTGCTTCATTCCCGTTTCCTTCTGTGTCCTTGGGCCGCAGGTCCGGGACACGAAGGAGCTGGTGGCCTCTGTCCGGCAGTCCCTGGTGAGGGTGACCGAGGCCCGCTTCCTGCCCAGCCACAGGAGTGACCACAGGAGGGTGAGTCACCGTGGTTTCCGTTGTCACGGCGGCCGGCTGGGGGAGCAGGATCGAGGTCCATATCGGGCTTCGGGCCAGTTTGTCACATTCAGCTGCGAGCTCGGTGCCGGGTTCGGGTTTGTTTTCCAGTAAGTGAAAATGAATCCTTAATATTTTATGTTTTTAAATCTGTTTCTTTTTGAAGGAATTCGTAACTCATTTTGTGTGTGTGTGTGTGTGTGTGTGTGTGTGTGTGTGACAGAGCCTGCCTGACTAACTGTTCGCAACAAATGAAATAAAATGAAAACTCACAAAGGGGGAACTGCTCAAAATGCCAAATGAGTCGCTTATAGCGCCCGTTTTTTTTTAGCAGGCCTCATAGGGTGATCAGTTCCCCGCTTTGAAAAAGCATCACTGATTTGTAAAATGCCGGTTTTCCTCGGCGCACGGGCATCATCTGTCTCCCAACGCTTGTAAAACCGCGGACGTGAGAGTCCTGTCTCCGTGCGCGCACGTGCGTCTCCTCGCCCTGAGAGGAAAAAGAGGGACGGCTTTCGGGTTTGGGTTTCAAATTTGGCACACACCATCCGGGCTCGGTCGAGTCGGGTCTCAAGGTCTCGGAGAGGGGCCGGGTTCGGGCTTCAGTTTCAAGCCCGCGCAGACCTCTGGAGCAGATTCAGCCTGTTTCGAGCTCAGTACACACGACAGCACAGTGGTTCTCTTCCTGTGTTTATACCACATAGCCCCACGCATGCAGGACGGCGGCGCTATCACGGGCTCGCGGCCTTGCGTGAACCGGGGGAAAATCAAGAGGCAGTTACAGCAGGCCGTCTGGCCCGCTAAGCCCTCTTCTGCCCCCAGCTGTGCTGTTGTCTCCCACCAGCTGCCCCCAGATGTCGCCGCCGACGCCGCGGCTCCGATCCAGGGCCACCGGGAGGAGAGAGGGGACGAGGATGAGGATGAGGAAGAGGACATGGACGCGGTTCTGCGGAGCCGGAGTCCAGAGGAAGGTTGAGTAACCAGATTAAATCCCAGGGCCGGGAGATGAGCACAGACGGACGCACACTCACGCCAGGGCCAGTTTTCCCAGAAGCCCATGAACCCACCAGCCTGTCTTTGGACTGTGGGAGGAAACCTAGCAAACACAGGAAGTCAAAACACCAAGGTCATGCGAAGCCCTAGAAGGCTCCAGTGTTTGCTGCTGTGAGAGATCTGCTCAGCGAGCTGCATGTCGCAAGAACATGAGACCGGACACAAACAGGAGGAAGCTGTTCAGCCAGTCCGGCTCGCTTGCTGTGTTTTGAAATTAAATTCCAAACCCAATGCCCCAGTACAGGGACCACAGGGGGATTCCGTGCTGTTGTTGTCCGGGTGAAACGTCAAACCCGATGGTCCACGTTCATTTGGGGTATTTCGGTGGAGCTAACTTCCATCTCGTCCTCACTCGACCCGCAGAAGTAACCTTTCACCACCCCCGCCCGATCCGCAGTACACGGCTGGGTGGGGGGTGGGGGGTGCTCCGAGACGCTCTTCCAAACCGCCTCCCTCTTCTCGTGCGCAGTGGTGCCTCCCGGCGAGCTGGACAGCGAGCTCGGCGGGGCGGGACGGCGCTGGGGGACAGAGGCCCGGAAGCCCAGACGCCCGGGGGCCAGGAGGAAGGCCAGCCCCCCCTGCCCAGCCCCGGACCAGAGCCAGCCCAGCCCTTCCAAAAGGAGGCCCTGCCCCGTCGCCCCGGCGCTCCAGGAGGTGAGGGGTGGGAGGGGGTAGCTGGGAAGCAGGTGGATCGGCTCTCGGGGAACAGGGGAACCCCCCTTTCCCCTTCACATGGGTGTCCCAAGCCGTGTCGGGGGGGATGGGGGGGTGGCCACCCCTGCTGGGGCCACGCAGCCAGTCGAGCTGCGAGTGGGAGAGTGGGCCCCTCTATCTGACCTCACTGCAGCCCACAGCCGGCCCCCAGCAAGTCTGGGGTACACTGGTGAACCAACAACCCCCCCAAACCAGTACCGCGGCACCGGGGAACCAGTCCTTTTCCAGCCCGAAGCCTCATTGTTGCAAGTCTCTCCGATCTCACTTGAATGTGTATTCTCATTTATATTTCTGTGATTCGGCTGGCATGGGGGCGCAGTGCTGGGGGCCCTGGGTTCCAGGCTAGACCTGGGGTGCTGTCTGTGTGGAGTTTGCACGTTCTCTCCACATTGTTGTGGGGTTTCCTCCCACACAGTCCAAAGACAGGCTGGTGGGTTAATGGGCTCCTGGGAAAACTGGCCCTGGTGTGAGTGTGCGTGTGTGTCCTGTGATGGACTAGCGTCCTGTCCAGGGTGTACCCTGCCTTTTGCCTGTAGCTTGCTGGGATAGACCCTGGCTCCCCTGCTACCATGAATTGGGAATTTGAATAAGTTATTCAACATAACTTTCTGGTTCTGTTCTAAGGGATTTAAAATTGTATTTGTATTCCCTTTTTCCGTTTCTTGCGATTGTGCACATTTTATGGCACGTTAAGAAATCAGTATTCCTACACCTGTGGAAAGCTGCCCCGAGCTCAGAAGAGGCCTCCTGCTGTCCGTCTTCAGTTTGCCCGTGCTCTGCAACGTGTCAGGTACAGCTTCACGACTAGAACAAGGGTCGTGGCCCGGGCTCAGCAGCCCTGAGTGGAAGAAGACAGGAAGCCTGCAGGCGGAGTACTTGTGTCCTGTGGCGTCCGAGCTGATTGCCCGGTGTCCCGGTTTTCGCAGGATGAGGTGCTGTGGCTACAGGGCATCTCCAGCCTTCCCGAGTGGGAGTGAGAGGCAGGGTCTGGGGTGCTACAAGGCCCAGGAGAAGGCGGCCCGGATCCAGACACGGACACTGGCCTCCTGGAGCAGAAGTGAACAGTAGTGCTCGTATGGTGAAAGTACATCTTACAGTTATATAAAAATAGCCATGTTCAAACAGGTTCGATATAGGGTAAGTCTTGTTTTTAATATGTTTCGTTTCTGATGGCTGCGTTTTGTGTTTTCCCCCCTTGGAAAGCAGCTATCTTGACTGGATGTGTTGCAAGGATTTGAAAATAAAATTAACATTCAATGGAAACGATGCACAATTGCTCTTTTTTTTTTTTCAGACCTGAAATATACAGACTCCTGATGGCCTGCTCCAGTCAGGCTCAGAAAAAGCCCTGTACCCTTTGGCAAGTGGTGAAAAACGGCTGTCCTGTCCCTCCCACGGGTTCAAACATCACACGGGCTGTGCAGTTCATTTAATACAAATACAAATAAAACCGAACAGGACGTGCTTCGAGATCACCTGATTGTATTACATATGTACACATATACATCATGTGATTCTTCTTTTTAAAACAAGGCAAGTATTTGTTTGTTTTTTTGTCACATGTGGAAACAGCAGCTATAGGAACGTCTTTTTTTTTGGGGGGGGGGATTGTAGCGCGCGCTGGCGGTGCCCTGGCCCAGAGCCGGGGCCAGCCAAAAGCAACAGGAGCGATACGTGGTCCTTCAAGTCATCTTCTGCCAAAATCTGGGTGTCCCCCAAGTCCTACCCCCCCCAATAACATCCCCCCTCATAACAAGATGGACAGGAACTGTGTCCCCCCCCCAGCTCGTACAGGTGCTGGAGCTTCAGCTGTTGTGTTTGGTCAGTGAAATAGAATCCCAGACGTGTGACTGGAAATAAACTTCTCCGAGCGGGTCGGGCGTCAGTGGTCTCGTGAAGGAGGGAGGGATTGAAGACCAGCGGGGGGGGGGGGGGAACAGCAGGACCAGGACCGGGAAACTACCTGTCCACCCTTCTGGACCCGGGGGGGGGGTGTCTCCAGGGCCAGGGTTCGAGACCTGCCCCTGGGCTGGCTCCATACCAGGTGGGAAAGCTGGACGGCCCGCTGGGACAGGGCCACCCAACCGCAGGGCGAGCCAGGATCGCTCAACCCAGGGGAGGCCGAGCCAGCACTTCCTCGCCCCCGGCGAGACCCCCCACGGCGCCTTCCCTCCAGCCGAGGCTGGGGGGTCACAGGGTCGCACCGCAGGGGGCAGGAGTTCACGAAAACACATTCTGTACAACGTCCGGCAGCGGCACCTGCTACCCCTCCATCTGTCCCGAGAGCTCGGCACGTTCCTGGGTCGGCCTCCGAGCCTGAAGCCAGGACACACCTACTGTCCCCTCTGTGCTCTGCCTCTCTCTCTTTTTTTTATCCCGACTTTCCAGTTTGTTTTTTTCCGGGGGAGGGAACAATACAGCGAAACAGAAAAGCCAAAACCCTTGCTAACTGGGCAGATTACTGGGGGCTTGGGCTGGTCTGAGGTCCTGCAGCCTGCTAAAGCAGACTTCGCTAGAGACGTTTCCCCAGCCCACCCTCAACACAACTCCCAGCTGGTTTTAATCAGGGCACGTGCTGCTTCATTCGCTGACCTACTCAATTCCCTCACTGAAATGGTTGATCTCAGCCCCCGAAAGAGGCACAAAGCCATCGGGTTACGCCTCAAGCACTGCAAAACACTTCCAACTGGCTTAAGGGCCGTATTAAAAACAAACAAACGAATCAAATGACTTCTCAGACATGACCAACTTGACTCGGCTTTCTCTCGGAGGCCTTTGAAAAAAAAAAAGAGTTGAACTGGTCCAATTAAACTAAGGATCAACTCCAGTAGGGAACTAATAGCACAGGTGGAACACAAACGCACCCCCTCTGCTGGCCTCGGGCACTGGAGTCGGGCACGGCCGGCTCAGGAGGAAATCGGTACCGTGAATTAATTTGTGTTGGTCACAGAGTTCGCCCGCGCCTCGCCCTGGGCCTTCAGCTTCTGTCATCGTCAAACAGCCCCCCCCCCCCCTTCTCCCCCCCCCCCCCCCCCGGTGAACACCCCCACCCGCAAAATGTCTGCCCCCCCTCCCCAGGGCTCACCGGCCCGCGAGGGCATCGCAACAGGAACGAAAGATGGGAGAAACTTCATCACTCTTCTCCTCCCTCCGAGGGCACGTGAGGGGGGGGGGGAGGTGGGGTAATTGAGGGGGGTAGGGTGATTGCAGGCAGGCCACCCCCTCCTCTCAGTCCAGCTTGCGGGCACCCAGTTTCAGGGGACCCTTCGCCCCCTTCCTCTCTGCCCGTTTGGCCTCCAGCTCCTTCCTCCGATCCTCCCGTTTCTTCTTCTTCGCCAGCTCAGCCTTGGTCAGCCCTGGGTGGGGGGGGGGGCGACAGAGACGTTGTTGGTAATTAAAAAGAAAAAAAAAAAGAGAAGCACCAGCCCACCAGCAGAGCCTCTTCAACAGCAACAGCTGAGGCATCAACCAGCAGCCATATCACCCTGCAACTCCCCACTGGCAGCCCCACTGGAGCTCACCAGGTGTGAGCCTGGCCAGTACCTGGAGGGGAGACTCCTGGGAGAGCTGAGGCTGCTGCTGGAAGAGGTGTGAGTGGGGCCAGCAGGGGGCGCTCATCCTGTGGTCTGTGTGGGTCCTGATGCCCCAGTATAGTGACGGGGACACTATACTGTAAAAAGGCGCCGTCCTTCGGATGAGACTTCAAACAGGTCCTGACTCTCTGTGGTCATTAAAAATCCCAGGGTGTTTCTCGAGAAGAGTAGGGGTGTCACCCCAGTGTCCTGGCCAAATTTCCCCCCTGGCCTTCACCCATCATAACCCCCCCTCTCTGAACTGGCCCCATCACTCTGCTCTCCTCCCCACTGAGAGCTGGTGTGTGGGGAGCGTTCTGGCGCACTATGGCTGCCGTCGCATCATCCAGGTGGGGGTACACACCGCTGGTGGTGGAGGGGATCCCCATGACCTGTAAAGCGCTTTGAGTGGAGTGTCCAGAAAAGTGCTATATAAGTGTAAGCAATTATTATCAACCCCACTACACGGTCTGGGCGCGTCTTGGACCCCCCCGGCCAATCGCAGGCAAGGCTGCTCTGTGAGGGGTGGGGGGGAACGCGGCCTGAATTGACGCTTGGAGCCAGGTCTGCTGTTGCCTTCCGCAGGGCGTACACACGCGCGCACACAAGCCCTGGCTGGTGGACTGGCAACCAGACAGAACAGTCTTCAACAAAATGCCAGACAAAATGACTATCAGTGCACAGCCAGACTGACCACAGAAACTGCCTCGTTTGTTGCTTTATGAGCATAATTCCGAAAACAGTGTCTCGCGAATGTGGAATTGGTTCTCTCCAGAAACCGTGGCCAGTGGCTGCAGTACTATGCCAGTACTTCTGGCTGGACAATGTATCGTAGACATTGATTAAATCTATGCAATCGAGCAGGGTATCGATTCAAACACCGAAGTGACTGGATGGTCACACTGAAGAAAACACTGTTTCTGTTTCCAGACAGAGTTTCTCATCAACAAACGACAGGGAGTTCAGCGCGCAAGTGCTCAGATCAACAACTCACCCTGTTCGGCCTCCAGAGACTCCCAGTTCTCCTCGGCGCCCCAGTCCCCAGCTGTGTCGGCACCCCAGGGGTCCCCCGTTTTCTGCGAGAGAGAGAGAGCGCGCAGACGCACACGGGTTACAGGAGAGGCCAGGGGTGGAGGCTTTGGGGTTCGTTTCAGCCAGCCACTTTCTAACAGCCTCTTCCAGTTCAGGGTCGCAGGGGGAGCTGGAGTCTGTCCCAGCCAGCACCGGGCACAAGGCGGGCTACGCCCTGGGCAGGACACCAGTCTATCACAGGGCACCCACAGACACTCACACCAGGGCCAGTCTTCCCAGAAGCCAACTAACCCACCAGTCTGTCTTTGGCCTGTGGGAGGAAACCCATTCCCAGCACCCCCATTCCCGCCCTCTGCACCCACCCCACCCCCCCTCCTGCGGGCGGCTCACTCACCGTGCTGGTGGGGCCGGCTCTCTGGGATATTCCCAGGAAGAAGTCATTCTGGGAGCCCTTTCCGCCGCCGCCGCCGCCGTTGCCACCGCCGCTGTCCCAGTTGTACTCGCTGGCCAGCCGCGTGCCCTCGGGCAGGGCCAGGGGCGCGGCCTCCCGGCGCGAGCCGGGGTCCTCCTCCCAGTCCTGGCCCCAGCCCTCGTCCCCCGGCGAGCTCTGGCCCTGCCCGTCCGCCTCCTTCTCGTTGGACCAGCTGTCGTCCGCCTCCCAGCCCGAGCTGCTCCAGTCCGAGCTCTGCTTCTTCACCGCCGAGGAGGTGGAGGAAGTCCCGGCCACCTGCGGGGCACAGGCAGGTTCGCACTGGGCCAGTCGGCAACCCAAAAAGGTCCGAACCAACCGGTGGGCCCCAAGCCCAAAAAAACAACCCGACCCACACCGGAGAACACGGCTCAGAGGGCCGTGCAGCTGGCGAACACAGAGGGAACTCCTTCCGGGTTACTTACTCCTTTCTCATTGGCCTTCTTGGTGACTGACGACACTGCCGACCAATCGGAGGAGTTCCAGTCGTCGGGGTCCACCTGCACTTTCAAGGGCTCGGGGTCCTGCTCCTGCACGTTAAGAGATGGAGAGAGAGATCTGTTCAGCCTCCAGCCTGCTGCTCATTTACACGGCTCGTAACTTCCCCGCCTCTTCCCAGTACGCTCGTCGCCACGGATAAGTGGAGATGGCCGGTCTCCTGTCTTTCTGCTCCGGTTACCATGGTAATTAATGCCGCAGGAGTCCTGTACCACCTGGAAGCAACTATCCACTACGTCCGCCTCAGGTGGTTCAGGACTACATAAGTCGTGATCTGGCAGCGATCAGGAGCTCAGGAGTCGCAGAATTCGCTACATCTCCAGCTTCGCTCCGTGTTCCCAAATTCTCTCTTTTTTCCTGTATTCTGGTCCCTGGTTTATTCTCCTCTGTCTTTGCTCTCTGGATTCTCCTCCGGCAAATTATACTGTGTCTCTTGTTTTGGAGTTTTGCTGGCCCTCTATTTACAGCTCTGAACCACGCCTGCCTGTCTCTTCTGCCAGCAGACAACCCCCCCCCAATCATGCCACTGTCGGCCTGCGTCTCTCTGCCCGCTCTGGGCTTTATTTCACGGAAAACCACGTCACTGCTTATTTATAACAAGTCTCGTTTTCTTTTGTACTCTGTGCCATCCTCCACATGGACTCAGCCCCTGACGGAACCTACAGTTCCAGCCTGGGACATGATTCATGGGAAATAACGCCCGCAACCCAAACACAAAAGCCGCCCCAAGCGAGAGCCGATTCTGCGCCGCGCGCATTTTGCAAACGCAGCCAGCCATCGCGCCCCTTGCTAGAGTTCACCAGCTCAGCCAAGGTGGCTGGACGATTGGTCCCGAGCAACCCATCAGAGTGAGGATGGTGCACATCCTGTCTGTCGTTCACCTCCAGGCTTCCCCAGTCCTCTTCCTCCCAGCGGTCGCTCGCAGGCTCCTCCTCTTCCTCCTGCTCTTTGGCGGCTGCCCATTGGTCAGCGAGGCCGGAGGAGGCGGGCTGGGGGCGGGGAGCTTCCTTCTTGGCCTCCTCCACTGTCGGGCAGAGGGATGATGGAAACACGGAGCCGAACAAGCAACAGGAGATTTTCTACGGCCGACAAACTTCAACTTGTTTTCGGGGGGAAATGGGGGAGGGGGGATTAGGGGGCTGCACAAATGGCAATTTTAAGCAGATGTGGAATCAATTAATTTACTCATTGATCCGATCTGCTGTGGGATCGTACTACTTTCCCTCCCCGCTCTTCCTCACCACTGCAAAGCGGAGTTCAACATGGGCTCTGGGATGGGTATCCCGGCATTCTGACCCCCTCCTGTCCCCCGTACCTCTGCTCCCGCTGGTGCCGTTGGGGGGCGGCCCTGCGGGGGGCGCTGGTGCCGCGGTGGCGGGCGGGGCGTGGTCGGGCGCGGTGCGGATGAGCTTGGAGGTGAGGGAAGAGACGCCCGTGACGGCCCAGCCCGCCCAGCTGGCGGCCGCGGCTCCGGGAGAGGAGGCCGAAGAGTGGACGTCCTTCTCTGGAGCCGAGTTCGGGATCCGGGATTGGGGGGGGGGAAGGGGAGGAAAGAGGAGACTGAAGATGAAAACACCCGCCACAAAAGAGAAAACGATCCAAGGATCTGCTCCAGCTGTTTCCTGCAGGATCTCCAGGGAACCAGCTTCTACAGCACAGCTGGGACAGCCTGTCCCACGCCCCTCCCACCCTCGGCGTAAAGATTTTCCCCCCCAGCTTTATCTGCTATTCACTATCGCAGTTTTTCAGCCACAGCAGCAGGGCAAGCGGGTTGGGAACTGTTCTTCTGAAGGAGTGCAGTGGCCCCACTTTTCTGCACAACAGGACCCCGAAAAACACACAGATCTGCTCACCTATTTCCGCCAGCTTGGAAGGGTCTTCAGACACCGTCTCCAGTTTACTCAGGAAGCTCTTAATTGCTTTAAACGCCTGTACGGGCAAAACGGGAGACAGACGAGGAGTGTGTGATGAGAGAAGTGCCAGGGAGAAATTCCTGATGCACAGCAGTTTCACTGACTCCACATTTTACAGTGCAGTCTGCTCGGCTGTTAGCAGAATCAGACTCCCACTGCACAGCGGTCTGACCCACTCCAGGTCTTACAGTGCACTCAATCAGACACCCCCACGCCCACACAAAACAGTTTTCAGTGTTGTCAGCCTCCTGTTCCACAGCAGCGTGATCCGCTCCAGGTGGTACAGTGCAGTCTATCAGACAAATCACTACACAGCAGGGTTTAGAGTTTCCTGAATTCTGTTGCTCAGCAGTGTGATCCGCTCCAGGTGGTACAGTGCAGTCTATCAGACAAATCACTACACAGCAGGGTTTAGAGTTTCCTGAATTCTGTTGCTCAGCAGTGTGATCCGCTCCAGGTGGTACAGTGCAGTCTATCAAACAAATCACTACACAGCAGGGTTTAGTGTTTCCTGAATCCTGTTGCACGGCAGTGTGATCCGCTCCAGGTGGTACAGTGCAGCGAATCCGAGCAGCTCCAGGAGGGGCAGTACCTGGTCTCGGACGCTCTTGTCCGGGTCGACGGTCAGGGCGCAGAGCACCGGCAGGATGCGGCAGGCGCACTCGCTGGCGGCGTAGAAGCTGTGCGTGGCGGCCAAGCCCAGCACGCCCGCGGCCCGCGATGCCGGGAAGGGGTCCTTGGTGGCGCGGGAGAAGGCCGAGATCAGCACGCGCTGCCTGGTCTGGGGGGGGGAGGAGGGCGAGACGTGAGAAGGAGTGTCTTCCAGTTTTGAGCAGAGGACATTACAAGCATACCACCTCCTCTGAGGCATCGGATAGGGTCAACCCAGCTGGCTTAGTCAGACTCCCACTGCACTGCAGTCTGATCCGCTCCAGGTTTTACAATGCAGTCAAATCAGACACCCACTGCACAACAGGTTTTAGTGTTGTCAGATTTCTATCACACAGCAGTCTGATCTGCTCCGGGTTTTACAATGTTGTTCATCTGAATCCCACTGCACTGCAGTCTAATCTGCTCCAGGTTTTACGATGTTGTTCACCTGAATCCCACTGCACTGCAGTCTAATCTGCTCCAGGTTTTACAATGCAGTCCAATCAGACACCCACTGCACAACAGGTTTTAGTGTTGTCAGATTTCTATCACACAGCAGTCTGATCTGCTCCGGGTTCTACACTGCTGTAATCAAGACTCCTCCTGCACAGCCGCCTGATCCGTGTCCAGGTTTGACACTGCAGTTAATCAGACACGACGGGTTTCAGTGTTTCGGGACCCGGGGAGCACAAGCAGAAACTGCAGCACACGGAAGAGCATTTCAAAACACGAGAACAGGAGACCCTTTACATAAAGGGGGGGCAGGAGCATGGAGCAGGCTGGATGACGGCGTTCACAAAGCCCGCCGAGAGCCCAGCCCCTCTCCGAGCGGGAGGTGCGCTCACCGTGGCGTTGAGGTAGGGGGCGATCTTGCCCAGGCACACGGTGGTGTTGCAGCGGATGGGGCCCTGGTCGTCGCGGGCCTGCAGGCGGGCGAAGTGCCGCATGAGCTCCGCGTTCAGGTTCGTCTCGCTCAGCTTGGGAGCCAGCAGCAGCATGGACTGGGAGAG